CAAGATTCTGGTAAATTCGACGGTATGTTTTTAAATAAGTATAATTTTTATTTATCCACTACACGTTAATTATTTCAACTGTTAAAATGAGTTATTGAGTGAATGTATATAGAATTGATATTATATATGGTAAAAGTAAATAAACCAAAAGATAAAAGAACATCCAAGCTCTATAAACAAACATAAACTGCAAAGTAATCATTCGTGAAATCTCAAAGTCGCTTTAAAGGTTTATCCGATAGAGGTTGCTTCGAGTGACTCGCTGACCGAACAAGAGATAAAAATATACTACAAATACTAATACAAAACATGTGAAAAATAACACAATGGTGGATAGTATTATTTTTATTTCGATTGGATCGAGTTAATTTTAAAACAGCTTTATTATTTATATCACCATACATATACATATAATACTTATGAACTAGCTACTCAATATTCTACCACTGTTATCTACTTTAAGATTAAGTGGTACAAAATGGATTAAGCACTCGGTTCGTGTTATTTTTTCATCTGTGGGGAATAAAGAATACATTAATCAGTTTTAATAATAATTGTAATAAACACAATAGTAACAAACTATACTTAATAATGATTCTGTTTATGTTAATGAAATAACTTAAGCAAAATTGGATGAAGTTATATTTTTCATAGGAATCCAAAAATTGCTTTCAATGCAAGTGTCATCAATTAATTTCTTTTCGATATAGAGAATGCTGGAAATGGGGTCCAGACAGCGTCGATTTATTAAATATAGGTGTTAAAATAAAAGAACTCGCGAAGTTATAACAAAAAACAAAAATCTAAATAAAACGAAAACGTTAAGTAGATTGCACTATATAAATTATATAAAATCCCATCTTTGTATGATAAAGAGAATATGTATTTTATAAAATAGAAATATACACAGTAAAACTTGTTTCAAGCTTTTTATGTTGGGTGTACAAAATTGTATAAATAAACGAAAAGACATAGGAAGTAGCGGACGTGAGTGATAGCATGTTTTAAAATCATTTATTAAGTTTACACGGAAATTTCTTTACATTGATGAATATCGACCTGGAACCTGTTTTGAGGACCGTGGAAATATATGGAATGGAAATGGAAATATAACCGTGGAAATATACCGTGGAAACATATATATCAGGGTTAAAATTTTATATTAAAAAAAATCGTATAACAGAATGCAAATACTTGCAAGCTACTTCATGAGTATTTGCTTTGCGATTGTTTCACTGTGTAACGTTGTTAAATAGAAAATTGCTTGTTGCTAGTGTGAGTTGTTGGATTAATTATTTATTTAGCAGAGAGTCGGATGTTTAATGCTATTCCACTATACTGCCTGAGGTTCATTTTCAGATAGAAGGAAATATTTTAGTTAGTTAAGGCTAAATCTTGCAATATTTTTGACTTACTTCTATCTGAGATTCTTACGACTACGCATTTAAAATAAAAATATGTCTACTATAACGAAGTTAGTCGTGAAAATCGTTTAATTTAAAATATTTTTGGCTACATTAACGTAATTTTAATATGCTTGAGAAGATTTAGGTTCTATATTGAAATATGATTAATCTAAAGAATAAGATAAAAAGTAAAAACACATAATATTACTATTGAAACACTAAAACTTTATAATTACGTAATAAATGAAATTCTTTGAAAAAATTAGACAAAAAGTTATAATTAAATTGGAAATTATATACAAAGAGGATAAGTGTTAAATAAAAAAGATATTGATTAAAAGCAGAATATGCATGAAATGTTTACTGAAAGAATGTTTTTTTCATATATTTTAACAGTTATTCATAAATAACTACGAATATTTTATATGGTTCGTACAAAATGTAAATTAAATCACTTTAATATCGCCGGGGCAATGTAACTGAAATAAATTTCTCTCTTATCGGATTGCATGGTGAATGTGATGCGTCATAAATTAGTTGAAGGTCTTCGTAGACCTAACATTTCATTTTAAATATTGATGTGACCTTGTCCTTTGCGATTTACTCTGGATCCCGAGACTCGATGTTCATAAATTTTAAATTAGCAGTTTAAGTAGAACATTGCCAGCATCGAACCATTAATATTTTATTCTGAATGTCAATAGTTTTGCTAATTTCGTTTTATTATTTTACATTTTTTGTGTAATAATTTATTTTTAATATGGAAGTGTAACAATATTTAGTACTGTCAAATACATTTTCTGAAATGTAGTTGTTTTGGAGCGAGCGCATGCTAAAAGTCTAAAAATTCATCAGCTATTCTGAAACGAAACGAGACGAATTTTGCGAATTCTGTATGAAATGCTTTCGTGAATGTTAACCCGACGACGGGATGCATGAAGATATGGAGATTTTCGTGAATAAAACTACGTTTTTTAATCACCATGAAGTTGTGACTTATTTATAACAGTAAAAAACTTCAAAAACTGAGATGGCAACTTATATTCTTTACTACTTGCATAAGATAAAATTGAATATACATATTTAGTTTTATCGATATATGTATATACTTCAGGTGCTTTTTAAATAGTATTAATTTATAAAATTATAAATTTATAATATATGTATGTACTATTTCTAAAAAAAAATAATATTTTAATTTACTTATTGTGACACTTATTTATTGAAAATACAATAAACCACTTAAGGAAACCACTAAGATAACTTAGTTTCATAATATATATTCAACATTTTTATTTCCTACTTTCTAGGAATTTTATCAAAAGAACATTTTCTTTTGTCCAAGGTAACGTTTGATATCGCTCGGAGCGGTCCCTTTTTCGTTTTAAAAAGATCATTTTCTACTTTTCGATAATATTCATAAATAAATAAGGCATTTTTCAAATATAACCTTTTTCATTATATGTATAAGGTTAACACAGCTATCTGTTTATATTGTTTCAGTGTTATGATAATATTACAGATATAATCGATTGAAGTTATCATCATCATCAGCCTATCAGACGACCACTGCTGAGCAAAGGCCTCTTTCTCACATGGAGAAGGTGTGAGCATTAATCACCACGCTTGCTCAAGACGGGTTGGTTATTTCAAACTTATAATTGTGAAACTATAAATCCAGGTTTCCTCACGATGTTTTCCGTCACCGTATGTCAGTGATGTCTAAATACTCTCAGAAAGTACATATGACTCCGAAAAATCACATTGGTACTTGCCAGGTTTGAACCCGCGCCCTCGGCAACGAGAGGCGGGCCCCTTAACCACTAGGCTATCACTGACTATTGAAGTAATAAAAGAAAAAAATTATTGTCTTTTTGTAGAACGTAATTAAATGTGAGTCGACGGTTCAGTAATGTTGATCACAAGGGAGCGGAGTAGACATCTCAGTAATGGAGAAATGCAATTTGCTTTACAGTGTAGCTTCATCCAACGTTTCTTTTTGTGTTATTCACAGTACCTTAATTTACATTTAACATATACTCTTTTGTATTTATCTAACAGTATTTTATAGAAGTTAGTACGTAACCTGTTGAAAATTGTATCATGAAAATATATTTAAAAAATTATAATCGCCAAAAAATAGTAATTCTACTGGGACTTAAATGAAGTATGGAAATCGATTGAGATCAAATATTGTACCTCGGAAATTCGGGCTTATAAAAAAATATTTTGATTTCTTAAAACATGTTCCGAGTAACAAGGTGTCTATTATTCTCATTCAATTTTGTTCAGTGCGATATCTGACATTACTGGAATTGATTGGTTTAACATCAAGAGTAATCGGTAGTTTCTAGAGTGCAGGAATTCGCTATCACATATAGAGGTGCCACTAAATTTCTCTACCTAATCCTTATCTCTGCTATTTGATTGTGCAGTTTCCAAAGCTGTAATGGAAATTCAAACAAGAAAGAAATATTAAACATCAATAGGCCGTAAAGCTGTTTAGAACATGTGACGGAAGCGAAAGTTTTTGACAAAAATACGTGGAACTTTGAAAGTACAAGAAAGATAAAAAACATTGATTAAAAATAGAAGGAAATAAAAAGATCAGAGATACCAATTCTATGCATGTTTGTATAGAGTTCACTCGTGTAGAATTTACCGCGGCAGTTAGATTTTTACATCGAATTTAGTTCTGTATACCGTGAACAGATTTAAAACTGGATTTTCAAATACAATATATAACATTCTAAAAATACAAAAGAAAATATTTAAAATGAAAAAGTAATTTTAGTCCTTTAATTGAATTTGAGTTAAAAATATATATTATTTGAGAATTGAAAATATTTGTAAGTACTTTTTTAAATTGTTAAAGTGTCTTAATTAAATTCAAACTCTCTCCATAAAAATATTTCCTAGCAAATCTGCGAATCATAAAATCGGCTTCTATTAGTAGGTCTATTGTTTTTAAGAATAATAAGAATAAATTATGTTGAACCATCATATTTCATAATATAAATCACATTCATAAGATTTTAAATCTCTTTACAAGTATTTTATTAAGAACTTAGTTATATTAATGAAACACTAACATAAAATGAAAATTCATTAAATTAATTTAAAAGTTCTCATTCATTTATTTAAGAAGCAAAATTTAAGAAATCCTTTTTATAATAAAATTTGTTGCGAACATTTAATTTAAATGAGACACGTTCGCAATAGGATTTAAATGGTCAACATTCAGTAAAACGTAATCAGATTAATGCAGTCTTTGATTTAAAATATTGTGCATAGGTTGCCTATTATCGATTTTATTAAACTTTTATTTTTAGGTTACGATTGTATGCCGTCATAATTTTAAAATATAATTTTTGTTGTCTACATTTTAGTGTATTTTATTTAGTGTTTAATTAACAGTTTTAATATTGAACTGTATTCAAAAGTAGCAAAAGTTTATCTCTCTCCCTAAACTTGTACCACCTGTACTTTAAGTACCTAAGTAAGTACTTTAGATTTAACCTCCGCAGTCGATAGGCGATTAATGTTCAGGTTTCAACGTTATCGCCCATACAAGGCACTGGCAGTAAAGCTGCACTAACGGTTACTGTAATTAGCTTCGTCAATTTTATCGTTAGTGGCTGTAAAACGAATAGGACCTGAGAATAAGTCCTTAAGCCTTAATAAAGCTTTTAGGATACGTACATTTAACTAAAATTTATTCTAATCCGCCTATTATTTAATATTTAAAAACGTATCTCATGTTTATATCCGTAAGATAAATTTTACGATTAAGACATCCCTATAGCTAAGAAGGGAAATCCCTTAAGACACGGTATTATTCTAAGCTATTAATTACAAATCTAGTACATTAATGCAAAAAGCCACTTACTTGTTGCGCTAACTTCTGGCCCCAGAGACTCGAAGGCTTTTCCAAAACTCAATTTCAGGAGGCGATCGGAATCTGCAAAATTTAGTAAAATTAGTTACAACGCCATCTAGGGATCTTTTTAATATTTGTAGCAAAAGCGAAGCTGCCTGTGAATGAGTAGGTTGCTTATTCATGAAGTAGTTTCTGCTAATATTGATAGATGTCGCTTCTGTGAACGTTTTGTTTAGATGTTTTGGGATCTTTAGTTACTAAAAATTTAGGTGACTTTAAATATTATTTAAACATTACATTACACACCTTGTTTTACTTGAAAAAAAAAATCATTTTCTAAGTTTTGACACCTGCCATTGAGCTTATGAATGAAATAGAAATATTTCAAAAAAATATCCAATTAAAATGTACAGTAACGTTCTTTGGTATGATTGTAATAAGATACGATGTTTATTTTAATTTGAATTTAAGGTTTTTGAAAGAAAATGTATATAATCTCCAACTGAGCGTTAAAATAATAATTGGTCATAATATTTTGGCATTAAGTCGTTAGATTATGATATTATTATTTGAAATGTTGTAAATTTCCCTCCGTTAGTTTATTTATTTAAAAATAAACTCTATGATGATCTCCAATTCAACTTATCCTACCGCTAAATAAATATTAAAACTGAAGTGTACAGTATATGAATATTCATATACTGTATACATATTCTTTTAAAGTTTTATACATTATAATATTTATTAGTACATACTTCGATTGTATAATAGAAAAAATATCTTTATCAATTCAAAAATACTTTAAAATATATCCATTATGACATTATAATATTCAACATTACTATTATAAAGTGAAACTGATATGTTTTTGATACATTATACATTTTGTCGTTATTATTCTTTACTATTTGTATTCTATATATTCTTCTCTCCTCTATTTATTCCGTTCTTACGATTCCTCGCGTGTGATGCATTCAAAATGTTAAATTTCAAACAGGATCGTATTCGCATCTCAGTGCAGTTTCGTTTTAATTAAAGTCGGAACGGAGCCAGATAATATCTTTCACTTCTTGAATATGCCTTTATTAGATATGTGAAGTATGTTTTGAAACAGTTTTAATATGTATGGCGAAGTTATAAGCTATTAAGAGAACTCTAAGCCGGCTGGAGTCTTGCCAACGCAGCTTTTCGTACCTTGTTGGTTGCAAATACAAATGGTCGGATATATTACGACAGTTTTCAAACCAATTTATGTCAAAGTTTCATTGAATGCCTTTTAATTTAAAAGTCGACCCGTATCATATTTCTGACAGTGGTCAGTAAAAAGGACGGGCGCCTTGAATTTTAATGCATTTTTCCTATAATTGTGCAATGGAGTAAGACTTAATCGATCGTTTTATTTTAATGTTTTTGTATTATTTGCTATGAAACAGTTTCTAACATAATTATTCTTAAGTATTTTAATATATTCAATAAATTAATCTGCTTTAAAGATACTTTTATTGAAACTGAAGAATAAAAATATTGTACTAATTAGTTTTTTCATCACCATGGTCTCGTTATTACTTATTCAATAATAGTATTTTCAATTATATTCAAGTCATAAAAGAATTGGTTATTGATTTTCCAACCAAGGGAATGTGTATTTTATAAAATAACTTAAGAGGTTTCATGTCGTGACAATATTAATATATATAAAAATTTATATATTATATTTATAAGATTTTTTCTGTAAGAATTGGGGAAAAAATGTATTGTATATTGGAGAAAAATGTATTGTGGAGTTTTAAATAATAGGTAATACTCATTAAAATAGTTTTCATTTATACCTGCTGCTGTGGAATCTGGTGGTGGTTGGAAATGGAAAGTGGCAGCGAAGCCTTGTCCCGGAGATACGGAGTTGGCAGTGAATTGTAACAATAAGTATGAACCCGTCGATAATACTTCATAACCTGAAATAAAATCAAAACATACGTTTGAAACTTTGCAACTTTGAAACTTTGTATAATAAACCTACTTTAATAAATACTTGATAATTATCATGAGCTACATTTCCAATACGTCACACAAATTATAGTTCATTAATAAATACTAGTCCTTTTTTTGTAAATTCATCTGCCAATTCGAATGGCAGTCAATAAACTTTGTCTATATTAGTTAAAATTTTGTCCTCATATTATTTTTTTTGTGTTTAAAATTGAACAAATATACGTAGCCTTTATATGGAAACAAATAAAAATCCAATAGGAAAAAATATTTTTTATAAAAATATATTTCGTGGTATACGATAACTGTGAAGTTTTGGTGAAAGATACTATAAATCTATATTAATATACATTGTCTAATTTTGTTGTACCTTTGTTACGTTTATATTAGAAAAAGTATTGTATTGCAACAATAAGCCATATTTTTATTTATATAGAAATTGCTATGTCGTGATGAACACATTCTCATACATAGAAAATTCTAATTCGACAATTATTACATTAATATGAAAAGGCTTCTATAGTAAAATTTATCGTTATTTCTACAACATACATAATAATAATTCTTGAACATTATAAAGCTAGTATGTTTCATTTTAAAAGAGACTTAAATATCCGTTTAATAAACAATTATAAATAACAAAAACTATGTATGTCGTATTAATTCTCGTAAAAGCATTTAAATTTTGTCATTCTCTATCATTTACTTTAATATTAGTTAGAAAAATTAATTTCAATAAAGTCTATAACTTTATTACTAGTTTAGGAAGTCTTTAAATTTGGGTCGTTTCATTCCTATCGGGCTTGAAATCAAACAACACAATATCGATTTTTTAAAGTTAAGTCTTTATCAATAATTCAATTCCAATCTACATCAAAAACACTGGCAATATGTTCCTAAAAACTAAATTAAATTGTTCATATAGCTGTAGAGTTCCTTTGCAATATAAGTTACTTTAAATGAATTTCAAAGAAGTGCTTGAAATACCGCAGTAGTTTAAATAAAGTAGCCGGTGGACTAGGAACTAAAAGTCGATTTCACCTCACATTATTCATTCAATAGCGGACTGCGTCTTCTGACGTCTACGTCAGTTCACGATCGATGGACGATGTCCTAAAATTAAAGCGCTCGGAACCATTGTAATATAAAACATCATACAAAAACTGTGCCACCGTACATTTTATAACAAACAAGCTTTTAAATAGATTTGTTTACCATTGAAAGTCATATTGAATATTGATTTGAGGTAACTGCTATATATTTTGTATCTATAATATTGAATGAGTAAATACGGAATGCTACATTGTACATTTGAAATACGTCTGCTTATTTGAATACAAATTCAGTAACACTTCGCAATATTTCGTATGAATTAGAAGTGTATAAGCGACAATGATTGATTGTAGTGCGCTTAGTAGAAGGTTATATTAAAAGTAGTTCCCTCGAGTGAGTATGGTGGCTGTGAATTATTTATTTTAGTGGATCAATCGATAAATGTCAAGAACAAACAATGTCATAGTTTTAGTTTGCCTTGTTATTATCTAAACTAACGTAATATATAAGACATAGTAATGTTAAATTTTACGAACACCATCTAACTTGAAGTAAAAAGGATTTCATAATCATATCATTGCAATTTTCAATTATACGATTTTTTCTTTAAACAAACAAAAATTACTGAAATATTTGTTTTAAAACGATAGATTAATTGAAATATAGTTTCGCGAAATAGCATTTAAATGAAATAATATCTGAAGTAAATATAAGTGTAGAAATATTAAAATATAGCTCCACAATAATAGCTATTGAAACGATAACATACTATCCATTTTACTCCCATGATATTGTGGGTTACGGATGTTGTAAATGTCAGTTTCCTGCCAATATACTTGCAGTTCAAGTCAAGATACACATGAATTCACTCTTATTATATATCTTGAAATACCTAAGTAGAAGTATTAAGAAAATATTGATGATTGTTATCGTTATTAAGATTGATATATTTAATATTTTTTATATAATCTTGTAAAAAAAACAGTTTGAGTACGTTGTATGTAGTACGGTCCATATTTTAATTTATTTGTGATTTTTTGTTAAGGATACAGTAAACTATTGCACACTTTATTAAAATTATTTCCGTGTTTGGAAATACCTACTCAGTAAAGAGTATAAATTAAATTCATCACACTAAAAATTCCAAATATCGATTTATTACAATACTTTTACACGCGTATACACCAAATATTTTAAAACAGTTCTAAACCTCTCGATCATTGCTTCATTCTTTTACATCTCCTCTTTTGACATTTTTGTACTTTAGTCATTCCTTTTTCCGACAATGTTGGCAAAGGCTGATATTAAAATAATTATCTTTGTATAAACAAAATTGAATAAATTAATGATTTACGATGTTTGGATGGTCTTATAAATAGGTTTTGATGACAATTATATTGTTTGAAATATAACATTATTTTTCCTAAGATTTTATTAATTTATAAACACAACCTGCAAGGCAGGTATAATGATTAAGTTAGTAACAATTTCCTTGTATATAAGGTAACGTTAAAGATATTAACATTTACCTGTTAGTTCGTTGCACAACATTGCGATGGCCGGTGCGTTTGTGTCTCTACCGTCGAACACTTTGATGATATCCGCCCGACGCAGGCAACTGCAAATAAGTTTAGCTTTAATCTACGTTGGATAGTCAGCAACGATATTCCTTAAGCCTTTTACTGTACGGATAAAATACTAATATAATGTATCCTTTTATTGATGTATATTGTCATTGTTATTTCGTTACAAAAATGTTTGAGCATTTGTTTGTATCTTTGAGTACAGCTTAATCCATTTTCATTATAGTACTGTCTAAAACTGACCACAAATTTTCATAGCCGAAAAACTTTATTTATCAACAAGGTATTTTATGTTGCTGTTATATACTATTGTAGCAAACATTTCTTTGTTACAGGTAGTAATAAAGTTGTTGATACTTTTATTATGTATAGAGTTGCTAATCCAGTCTACTACCAAAAGGTATGGTGTATCTAAATTCTAAAACCACAATGTACACTCTGTACCCTAGATTTGGTTCGGATTCATTACAAGGCTGTATCTTGACCAACCTTGTTACTGATACAAGTAAATTAGGTTTAAGGGATTGCCAGATATATTTTACTTAAGGAAAAATACTGAGGATTTCTTTGAAGATTTACTTCCTTACAGACATTAAGAAGATTATTTTCCTTTCATAAAGAACATTAAAGTGGTTAGTTTATTATATCCGAAATTATTATTTGTATTAAAGAAACCAGTCTTTTATTGTTAGCCATTTTAAAAGGTGACTACAGCATAAACAGTTTCTAATTATTTTGTCAATATTCTTGAGAAGGATTTAAAAAAAAAACGTGTAATTTATCTGACGAAGTTTTCGGATAAAATCAAGATGTGAATGCACTGAAATATGTTATCGTGATAGAATTGAACTTTGAAAGTCTCATTGCTTTGGTTACAATATGTTATTATTAGGCAAGACTTCGTATTAAACAGTACTGGGCTCTTGTAGTCCAAATATTCCTATAGTCTATGAAATATTCCTTTTTCAAGGTGGTAGAGCCTAGCTGTAGTCAATTTACTACAGCTCGAATATGGGCTGGCTCGACCGGGGAAGTACCACCCTCTCACAGAAAATCGGCGTAAAGTAGTCTTTAAAGGCTGCGTTTCGTCCGGTGAGTGAGAGAGCCGGTTGCCCTTTCCCTTTTCCCAACCTTTCCTTTCCCTCCCTTTCCCACCTTTTCCTCCTCCTTTTCCCCAATCAAGGGCGGCAACACATCCGCAAATATACGTTGCGGATGTCCATGGGCGACGGTACCTACCTACCATCAAGTAGGCCGTCTGCTCAGTTGCCCCCTTTTCCCATAAAAAAAAAAAAAAAAAACAGAGGTGATTTATACAAGCAATATTTCTTTATGTATAAGTTGGCCTAAATACGATAAAATTGAATTATATTCTCAAAAAACTACACATGTAAAGCAGTTTAAACTCGGGGAGAAATCGTATATCATATCTTAAAAGGCGTGGAAGTGAAAATATGAAGATACGTCAGCGTCGTAAACGTCTACATTATTTGAATATTTAATAAACTACTGCTCTCTTTAAAAATCCTTATAAGATTAAGGATTCTATAGATAAGAATATCATTTAGAAGATAGTCTTTGTGTTTTTATTAAAATTGAAATTGGAATATAGATTGAAAAATTCATAGAAATGATCAGAATCTGAATCTGCAACCTCTAGAATATCGCGTCCTAAGTCTGTTACAAATTATGACATCACTCCTAGACTCAAGACGGTGAAACAAGAATTAGATAGTTATATCGGTTATAAATTCTTTAATTATTTTGTTGCCAAAGCTATTAAAGATCCAATATCTGATCATTTTATAATATTAGGTGTCCTTTAAAATACGAATACTATTCTAACAAAGACTTTACAGTATTGTCGTTGTATAAATAAATTTATAAAGTTATTTGAAGCGTCTTTATAAATGTATTAGCTAAGTTTACGTTTCCTGCCAGTGGTGACGTTTATATGTTACCATGTTTTGTTTTGTAAGAAGCCAGTTGAAAAAAAATATATATCATGTAGTCCAGTCATTTAAGCTTAAATTAGGTAAGAATCTCGGAATTCGAGATACCCAGCTGTAAGTCTGTAAATAGTTGTATATTGACACCCTAAAAGTTGTCTCAAAACCTACATATGGTAGGGTGTAAGCAACTATTAAATTTCAGGGTCAAAGTTCACAAAAATCGGTATTTTGCGCTTTTTTTGGAAATATCTCATTTCCTATGGGTTTTTTTGCTATTTGTATTTATTATCAATATTGTAGAATACTAAATTCTCTACAAATTTTGTTTCAAAATTTTTTTTATACGGTGTACCGTTTTCGAGATAGAGGGCGGAGAGCGCGCGGTCACCGCATCACTTCAGGTCAACCGGTGCCTCCGGTCGAAAACGCGCCATATATAGTTGATGAACTATCAATAAATCAATGATTATAAATATTTGTCAATTTTTATTAACTATAATATTATATTTTATCATTTTTTTCCTAACTTATCCACTTTTTATTCAGTATTAATTTATTTAACAACGCTTACCTGTCCATGTAATTGCAGAATTGTTAATGAAATATAAGAATTATATTTGAATTTTAACCTAATTAATATTAATAACTTCTTACATGATGAAAAAAAAAAACAAATAAATTATGAATTAATCTAAAAATAAAAAAAAAAAAAAAAAAAGGTGGTAAAATTGTCATGATAGGCTCCAGAAAATCATTTCGCATTGCCCAACCCAATACCTGGGGTTCCAAATCATGTCCTAACCAAGTTTGAACTTGATAATACGAGTATACACGGTTGAAATGTTGATGCGCGCTCTCCGCCCTCTATCTCGAAAACGGTACACCGTATAAAAAATGTAGAGAATTTAGTATTCTAGAATATTGATAATAAATACAAATAGCAAAAAACCCATAGGAAATGGGATATTTCCAAAAAAAGCGCAAAAAACCGATTTTTGAGAACTTTGACCCTGAAATTTAATAGTTGCTTACACCCTACCATATGTAGGTTTTGAGACAACTTTTAGGGTGTCAATATACAACTATTTACAGACTTACAGCTGGGTATCTCGAATTCCGAGGTGAACTTACTATAATGACTGGACTAATGTTATATTGACATACGTAATACGTAATCATAAAAATCGTAATTTAAAATTCATAAACTTTACTAATACTCAAGAAAATATACTTATTGTAGTATTCGTAATGTATTAATAATAATAATAAGTCAGTGGTGGCCTAGTGGTTAAAAGGGTCCGCCTCTCGTGCACGAGGGCGCGTTTTCGATTCTGGCAAGTACCAATGTGATTTTTCGGAGTCATATGTACTTTCTAAGAGTATTTAGACATCACTGATATACGGTCAAGAAAAACATAGTGATGAAACCTGGACTTATAATTTCACAATTATAAGTTTGAAATCACCAATCCGTCTTGAGCAAGAGTGGTGATTAATGCTCAAAAACCTTCTCCATGTGAGAAAGAGGCCTTTGCTCAGCAGTGGGCTCTGATAGGCTCATGACAATGTATAAATATATTTATCAAACAGTAATAACATAAACACATATGTACATGTATGTTACTAGTAAATTAACTTTATAATCTATGTGTTTTAATCAAAGTTTTTTTTTTTTTTTTTTTTTTTTTTTTTTTTTATATCAAAGGTGGCAAACGAGCAGACGGCCTACTTGGTGTAAGGTAGTACCGCCGCCCATGTACATCCGCAACATGTTTGTTGCGAATGCGTTGCCAACCTTGTTTTTTTAGGAATAGGAAGGGGTGGGAATAAGGAAATGGTAGGAAAGGGTGGGAAATAGGAAAAGGGCAACCGGCTCTCTCACTTATCGGACAAAACGCAGCCACTTAAGGCTACTTCACGCCGATCTTCTGTGAGAGGGTGGTACTTCCCCGGTCGAGCCAGCCCATGTTCGAGCTGTAGTAACTTACAACAGCTAGGCTCTACCACCAAAGTCAGCATTATTGAATGTAAGCGTCAATTAGAGTTTAATTGTAATTTAGATTATATACATACATTGTTTGTTATATGCAGTCATAGAAAATACTAGTGATATTTATTTATTACAACGATATATGTAGATAAAATTATATTTTCAGGTCAGTTACAGTGATTTTTTATTTATAATTTGATATAAATTATAATTTATATTAGAAAATATAGAATGAAAAGTTAATTGACATGGGCAGGATGACTTTATCATTAAAAATTTTTAATTGACATTATTATCTATAATCAGTATTAACATAATATTGTTTAATGTTAAAAATATAATTTTATAAAGAAAATGTAGTTTCGATTACTGTAGGGGTAAACGGTAAACCGGATGGAATACAAGTTTTAAAATATGGTTTTATTTGAATTAATCTGTATTTCAAACTAAAAACTGCAAATAGAACCAAATGTGATATCGAAAATATATAACTACTAATAGATAACTTTTGTCTAGTGTAAGTATTTTGGCAGTCTGAACCAAAAGTATACTAGGAAGAAAGTTACAATGTCGCCAGTTTGTAAGCGTCTAACTGAATCAAGCTATTAACAGCCTGCCCCTTGCTAATGACATATTCTTGAACGGATAAAGTTGATTATAAATATGTATTAATACGTGAGTCGTTCCATTGAGACGAGTTAAACAGTTACGATTAACTCAAAGTACATACTAACTATAAAATGCATTCAACTTCAGGCAGGTATTTTTAGAAGATGAGTGTAAAAATATTTGTTGTTAAAGAGTAGTTATTTTAAGTCCGATTATACTACTAAAGAACATACCTAAAATTTTCTAAAGAGGCTCTGTCTAAAATTTGGTATGATTTTATTGTTTCTGTTATCTGTTTATACATAAATGAAGAGATAATAATTAGAATGATGTGAATAAGGTAAGCCTTATATATATTCACTTAATACAATAAAATAAAAAGGAAAACACCTTTATTTTGTGAAAACGTTTCATACTATAAATTAATAAAGCAGATATATTATGCGTCTATAGATTTAATGAAACATTACAGCCTCATTGACCGCAACCGCCACACCGCGTAGACCCCAACATCCGATGTACGAGTTAGCTTAATATTAAATTAATAGACCGAAAAGTACCGAGCTGGTAACTCATTAATACACCTATAATAAGTACATTTAAAGCATAAATAATTTACTAGTTACTATACGGATATATTGTTATTTAACGCACCATCACATCTTATATATAAATAACAAGAACTTGATAGAAAATGATATTCACACTTTTCTCTATAAGGACTTTCACGGATATCAAATTCAATATTCACTTTGTAAAGACAAATGAACCGATGCTCGTTGATGTAATACAATTTTCTACTCACCTTATATCCCCCTTTTGTAGGGAGACTTCTTCGAAAACAACTTTCACCCGGTCCTTTGGCCTGAAAATACGTGATATTGTATTACGTACAGCATACATCAAACAGTAAGGAAAATGAGGGCTTCTTTCGCATTTATGCAGATATATAAAAGGTGTGTTAGTGAGTCTGTCAGTTATATTCCGTATTTGACTGAGTACAGCTCAGATGTGTTATATAACAAAACCTACCTGGCGTGGAAATGATAAGAGCAGCGAACATTATTCGGGTAAATGGAAGGGTATCGTGGGCTGTATAACCGGCCGTGTGTGGGTCGATTGACGGAACGGCTAAACTGGTAGTCGCATTCCGTTCCGGGTATCCGGACGCCTTCTGTTTCGAACAGACCTGGAGAAGATTAGGCCATTTTCATTGCTTGCGTTTTATAGGCATTCCTTAAATGGTTACCCGCTATTGATTTGTATGGTTCAGTTAACGATTATAGCATTTCATTTATATATACCTACTTGTTATTATTTTGATATAAATTATTATGTATTAGATAAGTACCTAATATGTTTATATTTAGAAATCATATATATTAAATAAAATATGTTCTCCGAGCTTGTTTATTTCTTACCTTGTATATGAGGGTTTAAAATAACTCGGGTATTAAATTATGAGGATCTGACGGTTTCTAGGTTAATTGGCTTGTACCGTAGATAAAATGGGATAAACAGGTTGAGGTAAGTGATGTTTGTCTACCAAATATTACACTAGAATCCATATATATTGGGTTTCCTGTGAGAAACAACGTTTATCTTAAATTAAAATCATTTTCATCTGCTAATATACATTATCCATACATAGATTAATTGCTATGCTAATTTTGTTATTATATCAGTTTAAATTAATGTAAATGTGATTGGATAGAAAGAAAATTTATTTTGTATATATTAATAAAAATATTTTGAATTTATCTAATAAAACATATTTTAACCGCAAATGAAAAATTTTCGTTCTCACCTCACAATAAGCAATTATTTTCATTTAATAATTCTAATCTATCATATTTAATTAATATTGTGGTACTTTGCGTCTTGCTTTATTAAACGCTTCTGTTATAATTAAAAGTTTAATTTGCGTTACTCTCGCTTGATTTCACTGACAAAGCAGGCGTCGGGATTTAACATTACATTTTGAGTGTATTTTTCTGTACAATGATGAAGTAACTATGTATAAAGTTAATCGAAATATTGATTCTTTAATCTTTATCTTCAACAAATTTTAACTGAAAATGCATTTAATTCCGACGGCCTTATTAATAGTTTACATTAAACTAATTATGTGTTGATTTTTAAGAATAAAGCTATATTACAATATAGATTTCAGGTTTTTTCCCCATAAAATAGTGACATGTGTAACCATTATCGTCATTCTTTTGTATGTATCCGTATACGTAAACAGTTTTTATTGGTAGTTATAAAATTGTGGAACTCTTCTTGCATTTTATATTATAAAATACATAAAAAATATTGGAAATAAACCATCCACTACTTCTTTTGTTTCTTACATATAAATCATGGTTGTATTTTGGAATCAAAAAACAGCAATCTCGTCAAAATGAATTTGTTATTACAACACAAATCACAATTTTCTAAACGAGACCTTCTGATAGCAATCTACAATAACACGGTTAGGACGCCGCGGCGCCATATTGAAAAAGTAATGAAAAACCCCAACCACTTTCAAAACTGATGTTATTGAAAAACTATTTCATTCCACTCAGTTGGAACTTTGTTTTTGTTTATAACGTCTGATGTTTATTTTGAATTCAGTTTTTAGATTGTTATTTAATGAATAAAAGATATTTATAATCTCGTTTTAATTTGACCTAACAACAGACAAAAATGAACTTATAAAAGAAGTCTCTTAACGAACTCTTAAGATTTGTCAATTCTTCGATTTTCACACAATAAGTTATGAAACAACAAGAAGTATTTCGATTCTTATAACTTATTCAAGTTAATATAAGTAGCCGATAATGAATTTTTCTTCCATAACAATGTAATCCTTATAACAATACTTTTTATATCAATAAGCATATTACAGAACAAAGGTAAAAAAATGTGGATCACAAGTGCACTTTATTACCAGACCACAGTGAGTTGCGATGTACCATATCTCTACAAGGTAGTCAGTAATAAAACGTAAACACACCTGCTTCAGATTTTATAGAAACATAATGACTCTTACACGTAACAAAATAAAAACTATTCTTGATTAAATTTATCACACTTTTTTATTCGATTTATCTGATTTCATAAGGAAGCCTTACTCCATGTTACGTTTTAAGCTGTGTTCTTTTTGGTTTAAATGATATTTATTTATTTAACTAGTGATTATATCGAGCAATAATAGTAGAAAAAAATAATTTTAAGCTAACATACAGGCCAGCCATAAAAGACTATCAATTATTAGACGACATTAAAACCTTTAAACTTTCGGTAAATATCTTTACTTGAGTTTTGCAATTTCTTATTAATCTGTTGCTTAGAAATATAGTTTATAAAACTTTATAATCTATATAAATTATTATTACTTCTTTGAACAATACAATTACAAAAATACAATAAATACAATACAATTCTTAGCCTTTCCATATCTCGAAAATAATAATAAATAGTAAAAGTATGAAAGTGTCCATCCAAATATTTCTTGAGAACGAAATATTTTTAATTAATGACATTTGTACATTGCATCCATAAATTTAAAGTCACAATTTGACATTATTTTCAGAGAATTATCCTCATCATTCCCTTGAACATAAAATTAAGGCATAATTTCATTTGCAATTAAACGCTACGCATCAGTTACTTTCTGTACTGGGATAGTACGTTGCAATCGTTGGGTATTTTATCAAGCGGAGTGTAGGTAAGTTTATATATCAGAAATATATAATTTAAACAAACTACACCATTTTCAAAGACAATACAGTAATTTAACAGTAATATTAACCTTACATAGATATTAGTTACAAATGTTATAACTAAGTTTACAATCTGTTAAGACAAGCTTTCATAGGATAATGGGGACCCGACCTCAATTTAATGTGATACCCTTGAATAGTTTGGGAATGGATAAATTAACGAATAAAGGCTTTTCGTACGTGCAAAACTTTCAGAGGCAGATTGCGATCGTTTAATGAGATAATTTCCTATTAACTATATTGGAATGAAAACTTTCGAATGGTACAAATGAACTACCGATGTAAATTTTGTTAGATTAAAATGTTATGTTTGTTCAAGATTATTGTGTTTATACAAACTTATTACGAATTTATGTTTGAAATATGTTAAGACTCACAGGGAGTGAGTACAATCACAATTCTAAATCATACCTTTACAGTACCTCTCTGGGGAAGCTAGTAAGAGAGTCGGAAATATGAAATATTTGTAAAAGCAAAGAATGAAAGCCGTTGTTGAAATTAATCTTCAAAAGAATGAGAAAGGCAACAGCAAGTAAATGAAAAAGTTTATAATCTATTACACAAAAAAAGTTTCTCTGATCTCAGAATCTACCGAATTTTGAACATTTGGTTGGATTAGTTTGTATTATTATTATTATTTTCATTGCACTAAATAGAAATATTATAATAACTCAGCAATACAAGTATTTTATGAGCTTCTCCTGGTTTTGAGATTCGAGGACTATCGTTTGTCTTATATTTTATTGATTTATTTGGTCGTTTTTTCTTCAGAAGAAAAAGTAATTTGATCGAGGAGAATTTTCTTCCAAATATTAAGTACGAACATAATATTCTTTGCGTTCTCGTTTGAGTTCTTATATATGAGTTCTTGTATATATAATCTGTTTTGTGAGCTTATATGTCCTAATAAGGTTGGCTTCGGAGTTATTCCTTGTATGCTTAATGAAATGAAAAATCAAGTCATATAAAATTTTGCTGCAAAATGAAATTGTTAAATCTGAAGATTGTATCAGCGATGGATAGCTTCTGTTCCCATTATGAATATTCAATTTTCTTGAAGGAAAACTTAGTACAATTTTATGTCTCATCTCATCTCAACTTTAAGTGAGTTTGCTTAACATCCTTTGTTCCAGAACATAGCATCGTAGTCGAAATACGTGACGTTCGTGCTTGTGCTCTATCGCTAAATTAAATAAGACGTGTTTTTCATAGTTGTACGAAATTTACTTTATGTATTAATACTGATAAACGGTTGTTGTAATTATTATAATATATTATTTTACTAGTATTATGGATGCGAGCGTGTCTATGGATAGAATTTGTCTTGTAATAGCTAATATTTCTCGTCTGAAGACTGCTTAAATGATTCTAAGAAAGTCAACAGACATCACTCATCAAAATTTACTAGCTAACAGCCACTGTTATTATATTAAAGTATATGAGTTTTTTTTTTCAAATAAATTATCTTCTATTGAATTATAATCTTTATATTGTATTTAAAACTGTTTTATTTAAAATTTATTGAATAAAAAATTAAACTCATTCGACATTTATAGTTTTAATTAAAACCGAGCATTGTTTGAGTCCCGATGGACGCTAAGAGAATTCGGTTTCTATAAATGTTTACTGACTGGATTCAGAAACTTTTCGCGGAAGCCCTCCAGAGGCTGCGCCATGCGCTTAAATGAATCAACACTTCAATTCAGTTCCAACTAAGTGTAATCCAATTGCTATTTAATATAGCTTTGAATATTATGAACAATATTTTTTCCCCTATTTACTTATATAATCTATATTTTTTATTTACGAGCCATAAGTATATATGGCTTCAATTCTTATATTATTCTGTTAAAACTAAGACTTTTTTTTAGGTATAAACATTTCTTAATAAATAAAATTACATATATCGATACTTGAATGGCAATGGCAAACAAAAAGGGTTATTTATTTACTTGTAAGTACTTCCATATCTCAATTGATCGAAGAAGATCTCTTCAACTTCTAGTTTATAAGAGTACAAATTACTTTGTATTAGTCTTTGAGAAAAACAATAGACAAAGGCAAATAAGAGAAACTATGTAATTATTGATAAAAGCACATAGAATCATAGCACCACGGCACTTACATTAGACGTACTTGATACGACCCAGTTTCCGACTGGGAAGTCACAGTGTAGCATATACATAAGGGGTGAAAAATTATGGAGCTCTTGCTATGAATCTGTCACTTTAAACAACTTTGATTGAAAAAAGTACTGAGTATTTATACTAATTACAATTAAATCACAGAAAATGTATTAATGATTGTTATAAAACATGCAAATAATGTTTATGAACAATAAGAGAAGTAACCTATAACTTTTTGAACATTAGACATCATTGCAAACCACTTTCAAAGAAAAAAATATTTGTAATAATAC